TATCTGTTATAGTCGGTCTTCAGTAGACATTGCATATAGCACTGAGGAAGCTTTTTGGCTCCATGATCTGTCCAAAGACCAACTGTTAAGTATTTGTAGAAAGCGAAACTGAATATAATTATGGTATAGATGCTCCCTTTAGTCATTTAATCGCAACCGTATATTGTCCAATCAGATTGTGCTCCAAATTACGCGTGTTCATTATGCGCTGAAGCAACTCAAAGCCCTCGGACGTTTCCTAAATCTGCATTCAGTAAAATAAATTAGATTTCTCCGTATTAAATTAATAAAACGTTTTTAACCAATGCGTCATCCTTCAATGTTTGACTTATTCTTTTTTATTTTTTTTCTGAACATATTAATGTATGATAACAGTATATAAATAACACATAGCTGAGAGGGTGATAGAGCAGATTTTTACCCCGAGAAAACATTATAAACTGAGGCGAAGCCAAGGTTGACAATGTCTTTTCGAGGGATAACAATCTGCTCTATCACCCTCTCAGATATGTGTTATTTAATTTATTATACTGAATTTTCTGTTATTCTGTCTATTAAATTTCAAATTCAAAGAAATAAACTACATTGTATGTCGTCTTGACATGAAGTATAATAATATACATATTAACTTAAATTATATTAAAGAAATCTGCACAGGTTTATATACTGATAAATTTTAATAACAGGATTTGCGGAAATGCAAATTGTGAATTGAACCCAGAAAACAGCAGAAGATTCTTCTCTGCTTTACGAGATAATTCATTTATATGATTATACTATCTTTCAAAACGCCTTTTACTGCTGATACTTTGATACAGCCCTTTTTAATGTTTTACAGACATGCTGTTTATCAATCTTTTGCTGTGAGGTTATGTGTAATTATTAGCGATGCTATTTCAGTCAATGAGGAAGTAACTTCTGGCAGCTTCATAATTGGCGACATGTTGTAATGAGATCATTATGATTGTATTTTAACTACAATGAACATGATTTAGGGAAGAAGAAAACATCGTGATTTTGCCATCTGATATACTTTTAAATTTTGTGATCGATGGTGTTTCTTGTTGCAGAAGGCGCACAATCAGGAATAAATTGTCAGGAATATTGTCATTTTATTTGATATTTTTTTTTGCTTTGAAGGCAATATAATTGGTAGAACATTGACAAATATGAACAAAATCCCAATCTATAGTTTCCGGAATAACTGTCTATATTTAGAAGATCGCTGTCTTATAAAAATAACCAATAAAAAAATGAATGAAAATGTGAAGCACTTATGCTGTACCTTTTTTGCTTTGTTTTGTTTTTTATGCACTTTTACTATTTTACTATCAAAATATAACCAAAAAGGGGCGACGCTACACTTTGTGAATAGTTACATTAAAAAGATTGATCCCCATGAAACAACAGAAACGTAACGTTATTTATGATTTCTTGTACTCAGCTAAACATAATGCGGGTGTTACCTCATGGATTACATTTTCATTGAAATTACGTAACCAACTTTAGATTAAAAAAGCCAGTTTATATTGTCATAAAGTTTGTATTCAATCTAATCTTGTATTCCCAAGAAAGCTTTTCGCTGACGTAGCAGTATTCTAAAAATATTCTAAAGTACAGTTTAATTTCAATATCAAAAATAGCATTCATAAAATCTGATATTGGTTGTCATCAGCACTTATTATATAAGAGCTCAATACTTTTATGAACTTTATATTTACAAGCGTACTATCTTTAAAATAACGAATTAAGTGGTTATCATTAGATGTCAAATCTCTGCCTTAGAATTTACCGTTTTTAAAGTGCCAATCTGCCATAGAATCAGACAGTGGTGAAAACATGACAAACAAAAACCCGCTCAGCTTTACATTAATTTAAGTTCAGAATGTATAATGGTGCATGAATACAACATTTGTTTCCTTTTCCTGTTCTGGTAATTCAAGATATAATTTGGTTGCAATGCACTGGAAATTCACAATTAAGGGGTGATAACTCCGTAATTTGCTATCATTCTAACCAAAATTTATCTAGAAATTCTAGATCTTTCTCGAACTACCAGACACGGAGAAACTAATACCTACCTTTTCTAACTCAGGTTTGGATACCTTCAAAATAGGGTGCTTAGGTCGGTGGGGTTTTTTCGGACATGTTTTGATTTTTTTCTAAATTGCCTGATTCTAACAAAGACTGGCATTTAATACCATACGATATAAATTGACGTTCTGGTCGTACAAATCAAATTGTGCAACATCGAAGTGAAACAGCAATTGGTATTCTGTGTATAATGGTTTTCGATATGATTTGTTCCGGTTGCTTATTTGGAATTCTCGCTTATTATATTCAGTTATCAGACCATATAGCCAAAAATGTTTTATTTTTGTATGTACGTATATAATTATTTTATAGGAATAAGGATTTCATTACGTATCAAGTAGTGTTGTGTCCTTCTCATTTAAAAGAAGCTTATGAATTTAGAATAATAATCTTATCATGAAGAAAAAATTCAAACGAAAAGCGCCTGTTTTGCTCTTTTTCGTCTCAAAGTTAAAAAGTGAGATATTAAACACGGAGCAATAACAAAATTCCCACCTCACTGCACGTTCAATTGCATTTTTAGATTAATTACACCTTATGTAAGAATCCTTGGTTTTGATTGGTTGATAGCCAGTGTATTTTTCACCAATTTACTGTTATCAAATGAATATCGTTCATTTTTTAACGCCGCCGGGGTATATGCAAAAAGGATATGCCTTTTTTACCCTCTCTGCCATGGTATTTGCCAAAAAATACTCTATCCGACTGGACGCTTGTAACGTCACGATCATCTATGTGTTTTTGAACGTTAACATTCGGTGTAATTAAACAGATATAGCATGTTCTTGAGGGGTATTTGCGAAAAATACCAGTCTTGAGAATGAATTTCCCTCGCATTACGGCTCGCGAAATTTAACATTCTCTCGACTGGTAGTTTTCGCAAATACCTCTCCTTAACATGATATATCTGTTCATAATTACACCTTATATAAGAAAGCCAGATTTTGATTGGTTGATAGCCAGTGTATTTTTCGCATGTTCTAATATGTTTTCCTCATTTCAAACGAAAAATACCAGTCTTGGGACCGAATTTCACTCGCCTAGCGGCTCGGGAAATTTTACAGTCCCTTGACTGTTATTTGTCGCAAATACCCCTCCATGACATGATATATCTGTTCAATAGTCCTTAGCATGCACAGGTTTAATACATGTACTCGAAAATGATAAATCCTAACAAAATCACATTGTTAAAACATTCGTCAATAGTTAATGACTGTAGCCATTGTACTTTACTGTAAAATCAGATCTCTGCATATTGTTATTGCGTTTATTGAACAATGAACAAACATGTGAAATCAATTATTACGATTTTGTGAAATGCTGCATTCAAATATTATTATCAAAATTCAAAGTGAGACATTTTTTACTTTGACGAAATCTATCCTTATATTTGCAATAATAAGATCGCAAAAAATTCTGAATTTACATTAGTCATTTGGAAACATTTTAACTTATGAACATTTGGATAATTCCCTTTTACTCCAGTGGGTTCAGTAAAAATGATTATTATACAGATTTTAGACAGCGATGAAAGTATGACAGCGAATGTTTATGGGTTATGTGCATGGGCAACATACTTTAGGATACAAAACATACTACTTTTTTGTGAAATAGGGTTTTTTCTCTGATAACAATTGATTGTATTTTTAATTCATATTGCACGGTTTAATTATCTTAGTGTTTCGAAACTCGAATTAGTGTATTTGTCTTAAATGATTTGTAGACAAGGCTTGACAAATTGCGAAATACATTGCCTAATCACATAATAATGTTTAAAGTAAATTTAACTGTGACAGTAAAGCAGGTTCAAAATGCCAAAAAAGATAGAACAATCTAAACTTCTTCATGTATTTTAATCGGGTTTTTTAAAAGACATTACGATAAAAATCAAGAGTTTGATAATGCAAAGCTCTGTAAAAACACGAAAAATGATTTCCAGTAGAAAGCTGCACAGAAGATTAATTTTTGTTCCATTTTATTCCAGTGAGTTCAGTAAAAAAGTTTTTATACGATTTCAGGCATTTTAAACATCGATAAAAGAATGACATCGGACGTTTATGGGTTATGTGAGCAACATACTTTTAGAATACAACACAACATACGTAATAGGTTTTTTCTTTGATGAATTTTCGAAACTCGAGTTTGCATATTTGTCTTAAACGTTTTACGGTTTTAGACAAAGCTTGACAAATTAAAGCAGCAAAGCAGATTTAACGGTTTCAATAAGATAACATACCAAACCTCATATCTGTTTGTTACGCTAAAAGTCAAGGGTTTGGAAAGTCAAAACAATGTAAAACATAGAGTACGGTTACCAGCGGAATGCTACATATAGATAAAGTTAATACAATACAATGTTAAAATGTCTTTTTTTCTTGAAAATATTTCACAATTTAAGTATCGTTTCATTTACAATAGTTATTAAGCTTTCCCAGTAACTTCTGAACTTCATATCTGTTTGTTACGCTAAAAGTCAAGGGTTTGAAAAGACAAAACAATGTAAAAACATAGAGTACGGTTACCAGCAGAATGCTACATATAGATAAAGTTAATACAGTACAATGTTAAAATATCTTTTTTTTTTCTTGAAAATATTTCACAATTTAAATACCGTTTCATTCACAATAGTTATTAAGCTTTCCCAGTAACTTCTGAACTTCATACATGAACATTTATGAGGGTGGTAAAGGGTTATTTTCGTGCAACGTGTTTTGCCATTTTTATTTCACGTGCAGCTGTAAAAAAGGTTCGTTATTCACCGTGTTTCGTAAAATCGGGAAAAAAGATCAACGTGCAAGAAATTTTTAATTGTTCGTTCATCGTGAAATGGCAATTTTATTTCGCGTTCTTCCGTGCAGATACTCCCCCTTTACGCCCCTCATTTATCAAAGATATTTTTATTTCAGTATGTACATCGATGTCGGATGGTGTGTTTGCGTTGTTTGGTACGAAATCCTATCGTTCCCAAGATATTCTGACGTCATACTCTGACAAATTCCATATGCCATATATTACAATCAGCTCTATATTGGAAAGCATGCAAGGGAAGTATGAAATACATATGAAGCCACCATTAACACGGATCTTGAGAGATTTGATCTTAGCCAATAAGTGGGACAACATTTCCTATGTTTATGATTCCGACGCAGGTAAGAATAATAATTTTGTTGGTATTGTATTGAATAAACGTTTGTATTCAGAGTGTACCTGGCGAGTATAAAGTATATTTTATGCTTGTGGTACTTAGCATCTTATTTGATTTGACCTCATTTGGTATACAAGTTATTAAAAAGAGTAAGCGTAACCAAAAAGCATAGGTCAGTTATTTATTATAAAGACAAGAAAACTGGCTTCGAAAGTTGCATGCACATTGCTAGATTTGGCGTGATTTCCAAAAAGATGTCTGCATACCTTTCCGAACCAAATGTGATCTTCCTAAAGCTACCTTATTCTTAAAAGTTATCTGTTTAACACAGTAGTAAAACCTTTAAATATTATTTTTCATTGATTTTGTTTTTGAAAAATTAAAACATTATGATAATTTTTGTTATCTAGATATATTTTGCAATATATGTACAGCTATGAGAACTCATTATCCTACATCATGTCGATACTGTTTACTTATATTTTGGCATTGCACAAGGACATGCGTTTCTCGAGCTGTCTTTACACTAAATCCGTTTGATGTGTACTGATTGATACTTTAGTCTTCTCTTGGAGAACATGATTTAGTTATTAGTCGTAATTGGCTTTGAACTAGCTTTCAGTTACTTTGATTACTCTTATTTCGGTGCTGTGTACCTACTCTTTTTTATGTTATTCGTTTGTGTGCCTCGTACCGATCTTTTGAGTTAAGTCAATTGCTGCTGATTTTTATACCCCACGCAACGAGTTGCGGAGGGTATAATGTTTTTGACCCGTCCGTCTGTCCGTCCGTCTGTCCGTCCGTCAGTCCGTCAGTCCTGTTTCTTGTCATCGCAACTCCTCTCAAACCACACAACAGAATTTCACGAAACCTTTTTAGATAATAAGGACATACTATGTAGTTGGGCATATCGACAGGAAATTACGATTTAATTTTTTTTCTAGGAGTTACGCCCCTTTGAACTTATTTACTTTAATGTACTACTGCAACAGTTTGTCATCTCAACTCCTCTGAAACCACACAACAAAATTTCATGAAACTTTGTAGATAATAAGGACATACTACGTAGATGTGCATATCGACAGGAAATTACGATTCAATATTTTTTCCAGGAGTTACGCCCCATTGAACTTATTTGCCCAATATACTACTGCAACCTTTTGTCATCGCAACTCCTCTCAAACCACACAATAGAATTTCATGAAACCTTTTCAGATAATAAGGACATACTACGTAGATGTGCATATCGACAGGAAATTACGATTCAATTTTTTTTCCAGGAGTTACGCCCCATTGAACTTATTTGCCCAATATACTACTGCAACCTTTTGTCATCGCAACTCCTCTCAAACCACACAATAGAATTTCATGAAACTTTGTAGATAATAAGGACATACTATGTAGATGTGCATATCGACAGGAAATTATGATTCAATTTTTTTTTCTTATACAATTTTTTTTTCTTACAGTTATTTTATTTCTCCAGTGACAATGTGGGGACGTGGGGTATGTGAGCGTGCTCACTAAGGTTCTTTAATTTAGTTTGTTCTTATGTTGTGCTGTTACACCATAGTCCCATGTTAGGGGTAGGGTTGAGCGCTCACAAACCTGTTTTACCCCCACCACATTCTGAATGTGAATCAGGAGCCTGTAGTTCAGTGGTTTTCGGTTGGTTCATCTCTTTCGTATTTGTCTTTGTAAATTGTTTTGTTATAAAATAGGCCGTTAGTTTTCTTGTTTCACATTCAGGGTCTTTTATAACCGACTATATGGTATGGGGTTTTCTCATTGTTGAAGGCCGTACGGTGACCTAAAATTGCTCAACTTCACTTCCTTCGAGCTCTCATACCACATCTCCCTATTTTTAATATTATTTCTTTATTTGCTTGAGGTAAGCCTTTTACATGGGATTTATAATCAGAATACTAGTATCTGGTATTCTTTTTTTTCATGTTTCAACTATATGGACGATGTTTGGTTATTAACTGAACAATCTAAACTTCGGTGGTCATGTTGATTGCATCAATCCTTTTAAAATTGAAATAGAAAATACCACGTACACAGTTTGGTTTGTCTTACATCAACATTTGTTGAATAATAACTTTACGACAAATGAAGATGACTTCAGTACTCCATTGGAAACTTTCTATTTGTTTGTTACAAAATCCAGCAAGACTTGCACCATGCGCATTTATCTAGTACTAAGTAATACTACATCAAAATAACACACCAACCGCTGGTTCGCAATCAGGATTTCTTTAAGAAGCGCTGGTCTTTTATTACAAGTCAAGGAATCTGCAACATGGGTCCTTAGATTTATTGCGAGGTTTTATGTTCACCGTCATTTCTTAGCTATTTGTGTCCAGATGACCACGTATATGTTCAATTTCTCGTCACAACACTTCGGTCCTCCTTTCGTCGTTGTCAATATAATAGAACTTTATGCGACTGTCATACAAGTGAGAGGTTTAGCTAGCTATAAAACCAATTTTAATCCACCATTTTCTACATAAGAAAATGCCTGTACCAAGTCAGGAATATGACAATTGTTTTTCATGCGTTTGATGTGTTTGAGTTTTTAATTTTGCCATTTGATAAGGGATTTTCCGTTTTGAATTTTCCTTGTATTTCTGTATTTTTGTTTACTTTTTATAAGTTACCACAAAATGCTACTTAGCACTGGAATCTGATGTGGCACAATAAGTCATCCCGGTTGTTTCTTTTTTTATCCATGGTGTTGCGTGTACTTCGAAGTATTTTTTTGGTTGCTTCTTTGTCTTTCATGTTGACATGCCAGGTACAGTAACTAAAACACACCATGACTTACTTACATCATTTTATATAGCTATTGGTACCGGTCGTTTTGGTATAGGATGTTGGGTTTTTCTGCCGAATGTCGGAAGCTCTCTCTGGGTACTCTGGCTTCCTTCACAAATACAACCTTACCGCCGTGTTAAACACCAACAATCAATCAATCGTATGTTGGACAGGATACATGTGTCAGCGATGTATAGTATTCTTGTCATGTGAAGTATCGACCCCAATTAATTACGCTTACTTTTGATATGGATGAGGAAATATTATCACAGACAACACCATATCATCCTTCACTAGAATGGGTTTCTACTTGATGGCATTGTATAATATTAAATATACAATGGAATGAGTTTTAAAGCAATCGTGTAAATTACAGGAAGTATTATATCTTTATCTCTATTTTATAATTGACTTGGCATGTAGAAGTTTGTCATACTTAAGTTTTAAGTGTGTTGTACCACGTTATGTGTTGGTTTCGTCGTAATTTCATGCTCTAGTCTCATTTCTTATGCAATTTTAGTGTAAAATTGTCATCCACATAATTCACGTTTTATGGCTGTATGAATAGACTACCGTTAACAGACATTCATGATTTGGATCATTTACCAGATACATTGTATATAGAAAAATATAAATACATAAATGTAATTTTATAAGATTTTATAATTGGATCTACAGCTTCATGTATGGGAATGGTTCATTATTGAAGTACTTATACTATTGCAAGTAGGGAATATTAATGTAATATGATGCTTAAGTCTTCTCTCGAATGATTATTCCTTTCTAGTTATTTCCTCAAGTACCCATCTAAAAATTGGATTTTGCATGTTTTATAGATCTTGTTAAAGACAGATTCGACCAGACTGTCAAATTAACCAACTTTTAACACACTCACGAAAATCATAAATCATTATTCTGGATTGAACATGGCCTTGTTGTCCATGAATAAAAAAAAAGAACGAAAATACCATGTTTTCGGGTTGAATTAGTTTACTGTGTAGAGAAAACAGATAATATTATGTAAAGTCAGATTAGATTATATCTGTGATGCTTCTCCAGAACCTTATGTGGCTATTTATCATACAGCACTATTTTTTTTTGTCATCGGCACATATTTTACAGAGCCGGTCGGGAATTCACCTATCCTGATTTATTTATTCAGAACGGCGGTTTTTTTTTTAATTTCTGGAATCGTTGCTTTATTTTAAAGCAAGAAAATTCCAAACCAGAACGAATTCTATTATTATGATTAGTTTTTTCTTTCAGATACCAATTAAGTAATTTTGTTTATATATCTTTTCTTCAAGATTATTAAACATTTGAAACTTCCAATGTTTTTTTTTCTGTTAAAACAACAATATTTGGAACTGATTAACACCTGGTTTTAAGTCTTCTTAGCTAGCACTAACATTGAACGTCAGGTTTCGCTGCATACAATCAGTTTTTATATGACTCGGTTGATTTTTACGGACATTACCACATTCTTTTTTCAAAATGTCGTATTCCCAGCCGAGTTAACTCTGTCTTCTTTTCTCTTTCATTATATATATATATATACTGACTATGAAAAATCAATACACTGTTTGTTATCCATTACACCAACACGGTGAGTGTTACAAGTGGAGCAGAAACTAAAGTCATTCGGAGCTCTTGAATACTGCCGAATTGTCATTTGGATAAGTTTTGCTATGCCTTTAATTTTCCATGTTGTTTTATGATAATTTTTTTATGAATGGTCGTCGTCATGAAAAGTGATAGTATTTTCCATTTAAACTTTCGTATTCAGTCAAGTTGTTGTAGAAGTTACACATACCTTTCTGATTGTCAACACTTTGTTGACTATTAACCTTAAAACACACTCGTCATGTGACAATCTTATCAAAGGATGTTATATGAAAAAAAAAACGATTTACATAAGCGAAAATATATACACGAAGTCTTTCCAATAGCGTTTTAAAAAATCTTTTTGTTTAACAATTAAGCCATATGTAATCTTCCTTTACTTGTTTAACAAACCAAATTGTATGCCTCTGCCAAGTCAGGCTATCTGGACAATATGTTGAATTTTTTTGTCTAACTTTTTTGTGTATCTCTCGCTATGTTCAGTAATTGTTCATTTGACAACAAAATCGAGGGTATCAATGGTCATTCCCCATTTCCATTCTCAATTTTATATTCTACATGAAAAATTTGTATTCACTAACAAGAGTAAAAATATTTCACCACTAATAGGATCTTGTAAGTCTAATCAAGGAGAATTTTTGGTCAAATGAATACTTTTCTGTTCTTAACTATCGTATATTATCTTTTCCTTTCACAATCCCACATTCGTGACTCCCAGGACGGATGGAGCCGTTTTTATTTCTTTTTCTTCGCGAGTCTGTTCCTTTTAGATTAATCTTTTATCTATGTAATTATGCACTTCCCTCTTTTATCCTCCATTTCTGATCTCTTAATAATGCAATTAAGCAACTTGTCGTTGCAAGGAGATTGTGGAGAAACAAAACACTTTTCCAGTGTCGTTACTTGACATTCCTAAGACTATTAAGTTTCTTTAATAATCCGTGGGATCATTCTGACAAAACGTCAGACTTTTCCTAATAAAACCTAATACAACTTCTATAAACCTGATGTTGTCTTTAATTAAGGTGTCCCTTTCTTAAAAGATATCATGCTGAAACCCTATTATTCAGACCAAATCGATATCTCACTTAAATGTTTAGGTAAATACAATAATATGAAGCAGAACTAAAGCTTTCTAAAAACCATTCTATTGTGAAGTCTTCCATTTACTGTAATTTGAACAAGATTAATTCGTCCGGGAAAATGTCACAATATATCGGTTCTGTAATGACTTCTACATAAGACGATTAAACGAAGTAAATGTGTAAAGAGGAGTCAAACATTCTAAAGATTTGGTTATATTTCAGAATCCATTGCGGATTATAAAAGGATATTTTTTTCTGCAGAAATAGTGATAATTATTCTAGAGGAGATCATGTGGTGTGAAACCATTCTCAGAACTAAGCTAACTTCAGATAAATGATATAACGACTGCTAACAAATTGAAAATTAACGACTTCAAACTTGTCATTTATTTCCTCCAAGTTAAAAGTTTTACGGTTTAATTATATAGTTGTTGTATAGCAAACCATAAAATTTCTTGTATTTCCTTTTCTGGTTAAGAGCAGGAAATTCCAAATTCATTGAAGCTTACATGAAACTATTCCCACAGGATAAGATTAAAACAGATATTAAACATCCTACTGATATTAAAATGAAACACATGTGAAAAGTACGCATTAGTTGTAATAGGTTATCGAGCTTTAGAGTTTTATTTGCTTTCAATGTTTCAGCAAAGCTATCTTAGCTTTATAACATCTAGTCAAAATTGTTTACTAATGTAAAATTTTGGCCCTTCAAATAAATCTAGATCATACTTTCCTCAATATGATGAAATGAAATTAGATTTTATAGAAATCAATTGAAGTATTTATGTATAACTTCCTACTCAAACTGAGTATAATGTAAACTCATATGATACAAGTGAGTCCCCTATAATAAATCATACCGGTGACTTAATTTTACATCTTAAAATGACTTAATTTAGTGCAATGTTATTTTTTTGCGAATACAGACACATTGTGGTTGCATGTTCGTAGCTAAAGGAAATCGGTCTATTACTATCAAAATGACTGAATTCCTCATTAAATACAAATACTGTAATTATAAACTGGAAACTACTCCCTTTAAGTCTGTCAATCAATCAAAATGTATAAGAAAAATTATATGATCTTAATTCAAAAACCCATCAAAAATATTGACATGCATTTGGTATTTCAAAATAGAAACTCAATTCACTAGAAATAATATATATAAAGCAATTAATATTCGGTCACGATTTATTCTATGATGGAATTTGATATTGTCTATTTCAGTGCAGCATATTCGTTTATTAAAAAAAAATAATCAACAAGGTCATTACGTTGAAAACCTTTCTTTAATTCGTCTTTTAAATCATTATTATGGGAAATTATCATGGGAATATAAATGTTTAATAAAACTTTCTAGTCTAGATAAATCGGTTTATTCGGTGTTATTTGTCTAGATATACTAGTTTTTAAGTTATAAACTAGCATATAATAGTAATTCACGTCATCTGTACTATTTATGTCTGACTTATTTAACATTAACGTACGTGCTTAACTATTTCAATCTCATTTTTTGTGGCATTTAGTTATAGAAAATACTCATTTGTCTACTGGTTTACACAACAGTAACCTGACCTTACCTATTTAAATATAAAAAAGAAGTTCTGGTATGATTTCCAATGAGACACCTACATGTGTCAAGCAGAGACAATAAAACGTGAATGTAAGTAACGCTTTTACTGCAATACATGCACAGGTTTTAATCTGAGTTCACGCTACCGATTACACGTACTTTTGATTAATAAATTTATTCTATTTTGTATGATTCTCGTTTGAAAAAGGTCATAATCGAAAGTCAAATCTCACGGTATTATATTAGAATATAAAGACATGTTTCAGTGCCAACGAACTACATGAGTAACTGCTTGTACTCTCAGATCTGTACTTAGTGTTTTATTTTTGTTGTTGTTTGGATGTATAAATACTCTGCCACATCCGGTCATTGTTTTTGTTACTTGTTTTTCTGTATTTTTGTATCGATGTGATGATTTCAGCCCTTTTCGACTGATTTTTATAGTTTGTTCATATGCTGTGCTGTTGCATCACTGTCCCTAGTAAGGGGAGGGTTGGGCGCCTGCAAACATGTTTAACTCCGCCACATTCTGTATGTGCATGTCCCAAGTCAGGAGCCTTTACTTTAGTGGTTGTCGTTAGTTCATCTCTTAAATATTTGTTTTTCGTAAATTGTTTTGTTATAAATAAGGCTAAATTGCCTTATTTCGAAATCCTGAAAAGTTAAGAGATAAAGAAAGGTAGTTGTATCTTGAATTTTCCCACGGCTGTGTGGGATGTATAAATACGCAGACACATCCGGTCTGATGGGGCGTTAAATCCTATATTAAAAAAACTATTGTAACAATTATATGACGAGGCTATATGTATGAGCTGTATGAGGCTATATGTAGTATCTTGCAAGGCAAAAGTGTTGCGATCGAAGATACATTTATTTTCCAATGGCAATCTAAATTCCCGCCTTTAATGATCACGACCGAGCAACTATACAGAACCTACCTGTTAGATAGATTATTAAGTTTTGCTTGTCCGAAACGAGCGTGAAATTGTTGTCACTTGGCGCTTAGCAAAAGGCAATGAATCTTTCAAGCAATGAAGGCAATGCGTGATTCTTGAATAACAGAACAACATGTTATCAAGGTATAACACTGATTTCATGCAGTGTTGATAATCACCTGAACAACCTTCATCATCAGGTACACAAAACACTAAACCTGGAGAATGTCAAATGCATAAAAATTTACAATCGTTTTTAATAATAGATTATCTTAATTACATGTAGCTGTTGACAAAACCTTTCGGACTTTCAGGTTTTCAATGCTTTCAACTTCGTACTTCAATTTAATTCAATTCTTTATTACTTTAAGCACATTATGCTTATCAGTACAGTAAATACAAATATATTTTCATAACATAAAATGGTATAATACATCAGAGAGGCAAATAAATATCAAGTATTCTCCACTAACAGTTCAGTCCTATGCATAGGAATTTACACAAATTACGCAAATACTTATTGGGCTTTTTAACTTTTTTATTCGAGCGTTACTGATGAGTCTATTCTTGGTCTATTGTAGACGAAACGCGAGTCTGGTGTACAACAGTGCAATCCTGGTGTCTATGATATTATTAATTTATTTCGTACCCATCATAACATCTTTCAGTGAATAGATGTACACATATCCCTTTAGAAGCTAAAGTACAATAAATAATTAGCATTCTAAGAACATATTTTCCTCAACAACTTTTTATAAATACATCAATAAAATTGAGAATGGAAATGGGGAATGTGTCAAAGAGACAACAACCCGACCATAGAACAGACAACAACAGAAGGTCACCAACAGGTCTTCAATGCAGCGAGAAATTCCCGCACCCGGAGGCGTCCTTCAGCTGGCCCCTAAACAAATATATATACTAGTTCAGTGATAATGAACGCCATACTAAACTCCAAATTGTACACAAGAAACTAAAATTAAAAATAATACAAGACTAACAAAGCCTAGAGGCTCCTGACTTGGGACAGGCGCAAAAATGCGGCGGGGTTAAACATGTTTATGAGATCTCAACCCTCCCCCTAAACCTCTAGCCAATGTAGAAAAGTAAACGCATAACAATACGCACATTAAAATTCAGTTCAAGAGAAGTCAAGCTCATTTGAACACCTTTATAATACAATAGTGATAGACAAAAGAAAAAACAGCGGTACAAGTTCTAGTAACATGTATTCATGTCAATAGAAAGTCCTCAGACTAACCGTTACGATTAAAGATAAATCGTATGTCAAATTGTTTTCGCTAGAAACGCATTTTCACATATTTTAATTATATATTAATAAGAAGATATGGTATGAGTGCAAATGAGACAACTAACTCTCCATCCTAGTCACAATGTATAAAAAGTAAACAATTATAGGTCAAAGTACGGCCTATAAACTATTATCATTCTATTATATATTTAAAGGATTAATGCGTTATCAGGAATTAAGAGAATTGCTCCTACTGAACAATACTGATCATCCCGTTAATATAAAAATACGAAGAATACAGAACATAAAACAAGCGCATGACGACCTCAAATCTTTAGATTCAAACGAGTTAAGATCTACCACAAAACAGATTCTAATTGACCTGGAGTCTGAGGAATCATATGTTGTATTTTTGCAGCAGGTATGTATATAACCAATATCCCTCGTTTTCTTCTTTTTTCATAAAAATACATATTGTTTTTTTTATGTTTCATTTTTAAGTTTTTTAAGAATTGTATTTTGATCTGCATTCAATTTTATGGTAACCAAAAGAAGAAAATGAGAGAATAGTGCTTTAAGTTTTTAATCATGCGCAAATATAGCCTTCATAAGATTAAAACATCAAACTTCAATGCATCCATCAATTATTGCAAAATTACTTTAACTATTACAAAGTTATCTTCTACTCTGTTTTTGTTGTTGTTGTAAATTTTAATCTGGTTTTACAATTCCTTTGGCTCTTGTGTTCAAATAAATACTTCATCAAAGTCTTCGTTGTTGCAGCAAAATATCGAAATATCGATGATCTCTAATGTAAACATGAAATGAACTGTTAACAAAAAAGTGTTGACGTAGCAGAATATACGTGTTCAGTGATTAATAACCTGTTGAACTGTGCAGTACCCGCAATTATGCACATATAATTATGAATTGATTTTTACAACCACTGGGTCGATGCCACTGATGGTTAACGTATCGTCTCCAATGGTATAACCTGGCCAGTAGTCAGCACTTAGTCTTCTGTGTTGTCATGCAATATCACTGATAGATTTAATTACTGTTTATAAGATTTTGAATTATTCGAATACTAAGGTATACCAAGTCTTAGATATGATAGCCTTATTTAGCTTCTTTTTTTTTTGGGGGGGGGGGGGGGGGGGGGGATTTGGATTTTGGTTCCAATGGAGTGCAATTAATGGGTCTTCTTTGACGAAACGCTGGGCTGGCGAACTTAGTTATGAGCTAGATATCTTTTGTGAGTTTTTATGATTATAAAGAGGGTTTATCGTCAGTAGGCTGTATAAACAGTGAATGTGGCTTACCGGTAAGATATTAAGGCATAGTTTGTTATTATTTCTTGCAGATACGAGAAGTTGGAATGAATAAACAAAATTATTCATACATTTTAGCAACGCAGGTAAGAAGGACGTGTGTATAGTACAAGCAATCTTGATGTTTATATGATAAGACGCATTTAACTGTACGTTTGTTAAGATGTATAAACTGTACATCTGTTGAGATGTATATAAACTGACTGCGCACATGTTAAGATGTATATTATATGTACATCTGGAAAGATGCAAATATACTACACATTTGTAAAGATATATATTAACTGTTTATATACATTTTTACAGATACACACTTTCTATACAGTTTTACAGATGTACAGTTTATATGCATCTCAATTGATGTACATTTTTAATTTATATACAGCTTTACAGATGTACAGTTTATATAATCTCAACAAATGTACAGTTTATATGCAACTGAATAAATTTACATCAAGATTGCTTGTACTAAAGTAGCTGTGTAGTAGTTTTAAAAACAGAAAATGTTCTTTTCAGGTGGTCAAACACCCTTTAGGACTTTACACAGAGTATCGGTTTATCTTTAAACATGAATATCTTTTCCACAAAAGAAGGTAAAGCAAAATACTAAGATAAACTAATTAATTTAAACTGTGCGTGTGGCAGACATTTGATAAATGTTGATTTGTATTTACCAAGTGATACGATATAATCCAGTTCTGTATTGATCTGAACTATCTAGAAAAATGTTAAATCACAAAAATACTGAACTCCGAGGAAAATTAAAAACGGAAAGTCCCTAACCAAATCAAATGGCAATATCAAAAGCAACCAACACATCAAACGAATGGACAACTACAGTCGGTTTACTCCTGGTTTGCCCACTTTTAATTATACCAATTATCTGTTAGTAAAGAAAACAAAAAAGACAAAAGGTTTAATGATCATACAATTGTATAGTCTGTTCCAACCTGGGTATATAGTTTATTAGTGTTTTCTATAAATTCGGGTATTTTTTATTTTACATTTTCATTTGTATAGAAAAATGATTAATAAATCAAATATTTTTTCTCTCAATAATTTAATATCAATTCAATCGATTCATTTGTGTACAACAGTTACTAATGATTAAACATTGACATTCAGTTATAAAAGTGTCTTAATTATTCCATAGTTTTTGAATGATTTTCATATAAATACATCAATACAAGTCTTTTATTGCAATCATAATTTATATAATATATGAATCAAGTTTATATAAATGCATTGCATAAGGAAATAAATAAGTAATATGGGGCACTATATGTATAATGATGGGAAATGCAATCTTTTTTATAAATATATTTCAAAAGTCACAAAACAATATATTAACAAAGTCAGTAATTACAATATTTCACGAAGTTGTTCAGTTCAAATGGAAAAGATGGGAAGCTGCGTCAGAGTAGTCTTATCGCGATGAGTCCTTGTTGGTATCTGTCTGTATGGAGTCTGGTGTCTATTACTCTGTATCTGCGTCTTTTTGGTGGGCGGGCTCCTCCTGCTGCATACTGGATAATGTTACATTCTGTCAGTACCTGGGTCTTCTTCAGTTACTCAGTGATCTCGTACATGTTGGGGTTGAGATGTTGGAGTCTCTTCTTAATTTTGATGTGCCATCCTTCCAGGTGATTGGTGGTGCGTGGTCCTTCTGTGTAGAAGTGGTTCCATAGAAAGCGATATCCGTCAACCCAGAACTCTGTCACGTCATCAGTAAATGATGTTGTAGCGGGTATGTTGTCAGCTTCACCAATGTCTTCTAAAGTTTTAAGCTAAACAGCCTCTACAAGGCGGGTTGGAAAGTGTAATACCACCATCGATTTCCCCCTATTAGTCTTTGTAAAATTTGCACTTTTTAAAAAATTATGCATAATTTATCTGTGTTTCAAATAAAGAAATACTTGGCATGAGTAAAGTTTTATCCTGTCCAGTTCTATGGTTGCTGTTTAGTAGTCAGTAAATTCTGTTTCTGGTGAAGTTGTAACTGATGTTGGTGTGTCAAATGTAAAGCTTTTCAGAACAGTATATTTATTAAAAACAAGTGTGGACACAGATCAGTGTGGATAGTATGATTGGATGTTTGACAGTGTTTTATATGACACAAGGAGTTCTATGTTTTATGTTTTCTATGTATTAACTGTGTTGCACAATGACAATCCAACATGAGCATTAGGGGTGTTGTTTATGTAATATTTAGTTTTTTATGTTCAACACGGGCATGGAAGAGATACTAATTGCATTAATTACCAAATGATTATGATTGAAAATATATGTTCCACATCTTTGATTTTGGATACATTTTGTAGCTAGGAGAGTAACACATAATAGGTTCATTTTTTTCTTAATGTGATTTTTTTATATGGGAGATGGTATCTGAGAACACGTATTTGCTTACTATTTGTATGGTTCTATTTATATTACTTTGTGGAGGATTGTCAGTATCATAAGTAAAAGATTTCGGTTAAATGTGGAAATTGTTTCTCAGTTTAGAAGACATTTAATGTTTTTTAGCAATGACAATGCCTGACATGATGATTGGGGCTAGATGAGCTAGAAAGTGAATTTCTGTGTTATTTTTTATTAATTTTTTGAAAATATCTCCTCCAAAGCTGGTCAAAGCAAAAAAAAGTTTTGACCAGTATGAAAATGATATCAACAAAAGAACCTTTGTGAGCATGCTTCAAAGACTCATAACTAACTACAGAAGTCATATGATAAAATGTCAAGTGGATATTATGAACATCTACTTAATATGTCTAAATATCTAAAAAGTTTTAGTATTCAATAAGAAAAAGCTATTGCAAAAGTATTCTCTTTTCAATTTTTTTTTTTGTTATATGGATACAAATATAAGTGATACCAATACAGTAAGGCAGTTTTGTTATGGTATGAAAGTGTAGTAATTAACATTTACTGTTAATTCACACAAGTTAAGAAATAAACAAATGAATGATAAATGTTGAACATGTACAATGAAATATATTTTAGAAATCAATTAGGCCAGATAGGCCTTATAAATTTTGGTCTTTTTCTTAACATACTGAATGACCATTTACACTTAGGACTGAGTCGCCAGTAGGCAGTACAGATGTAAAAAAATAAAGTGTAACAAAAGAACCTAGCATCATATTGCTAGTAGCGCCAGTAGCATTGTTTGGTGAATTTGTGCTTTTTTTTTAAGTTTGGCTAATGGACAAAAAATGTTTGGTTCAAATCTAAATAAAATGCTTTTATCTCCCTATTACTTACATTGTACATAGAATGGATACTACTTTGACAATTCCTTGTACATTAGAGTTGTCTGTCAAATCTTTACTTCACAAAGAATGAATTGCATAACAATGAACTGAGCTCAAAGCAAAGCACTTTAATAATACACTTAGACAATGAGCTCAATCCAGTGATATACTTTGTACTACAGGTCCTTCATGAACATCCTACTGGCCAAAACCATATCTCACAAACATGCAATACTACATGGTTGGATCAGAAGTCCTGAAAAAGACATGAACTTTATTAACATATTTTAAGTATATACACCGGTTAAAACTTTAACAAATTTGTGGTAAAATCATTCAGTATCTAGCAACTATCAATCGCTTCATGAACAAATTGGTTGAGTACCAATCTGTCAGAAATAAGAACATACCTCCAACTTATTTTAGTTAACTGATGAAGAAACATTCAAAACTTTAAAATGTTATCTAATAGACTAGCTGCAATGAAATCCCAGTTTTCTAAAATGGTAGGTGGAACCTAAAACTCAAAAGATTTTAAACTATGCATTTTAAATATTGCAAATATACATGCAACAATAATAATTCTCAAAAATTCGCTATATTTCCTTATTTTGTCTTTTGTTCGAGACTGTATATTGACCTCTAGATGTCTTTCAATTACATTCAGTTTGGCGTGGGTTGATGTTTGATTGTTGTACATGTTATATATCGACGTGGGATTTGTTTATATAAATTATGCGTGAAATAATTTTGGTTAACTGAAATCCTTTAACTTACTTCCAAATTAATGTTAATACTGACGGAAAAAATTACATTGCTAAATAACCACTTTAAAACACATGCAAACTTTTTGAGAGGAAGTCATAATGCATGTAACATCTATTAGATCTTTTTTAAAACCATTCTAAACTACTGATAAGTGATAAAGTTTGTTAACTGTTACTTACCTTCAAAAAGGGGGTTGCTTTCACTTTACTACATATACATATAAATATAATCAACAATACTGAGTGCAACACCTAGGATTAATAGAGGATTGTTTTGTAAGAATAGTTGCTGAAATAAGCAGGCAATATTCAAAGTAGAATAAAAAATATTATAGGACTGTGTTTTAAAGTAATGAGCATTGTGCAGGGCTCACGTTACCATGCTACTGGGGCGACAAAGTCGCTACTTCGCTTTGACCGACCTTCAAAAGCGAAATCTAGCCGCCCTGTTGTTTACGATACTCAAATCCAGTCGCTTTTGTCATCGGCAATATTCAACATTTACCAAGTCGATGAAACAGCAATTTTTCATTTGAAAGTAAAGAAATTCAAAGACATAAACGATTTATTTTCTTTAGGAGGTTAAAGCATTGATTTTAAAGTTGGTTGCATGTTATTTTCATAAAGACAATTTTTTTATCACTTCTGGTACTTGTTACTCAATCTTAGATCAAATCATTCTAACTTTCGGCAAAATAAGCTAGTTATTTCATTAGAACGTGATGAAATTAAAGATTTCTTGCTGTTGTGCAATACACTGTGCTGTTGCGCAATACTTAGTAAATCTGTCGTCAGACTATAAACAAATAAAGTTCAATTAATTCCCAGTCATATTAGAAATTTATAAAAATGTAAAGGGAGCTTGCATCAATAGATATAAACAATTCACTTAAGTTTCATGAGAATTGCTGACAGCATTTTTGAGCTATTGTCCGAAAACTGGAAAATCACCCCTTTTTTAATGAATAAAACCCCATCACTCAGAAATGTAAAATGTACAATTTATAAAATTCTAAACGGAGCTTACATCAATATAGATATAAACAATTCACAAAAGTTTCATACAAACTGCTGAAAGCATTTTTGATTTTTGTCCGAAACTGGAAAATCCCCCCTTTTTTCATGAATAAAACCCTGTAACTCAGAAATGTAAAATCTAAAATATATAAAAATCGAAAGGGAACTCATGTCAATAGATATAAACAATTCACCACAATTTCTTGCAAGTTGGTGAAAACTTTTATTGTCCGAAAACTGGAAAATCCCCCTTTTTTAATGAATAAAACCCCATAACTCAGAAACGTAAAATCTAAAATTTATAATCAAAGCGCGAAAGCGCTGTAAAGGCAGTTAATTACAGGTTGTGTGTATTTTTAGTCCAGTTATATCATTATCTTGCATAGTACAGTGTACTTATCAGAGGTGGCTTTCAGTATTTAAGATTTAGAGTTCTCTAATGATATTGAACAAGTTTTATGAATATCATATTCTGAGCACTATATGAAGGCGATTGTTCTCACTTGTTTATGAACTAGTGCATTATGTCCAGTTTGTGCCTTTTTTTATCTATGTTTATAGTCAAATTAGTTATCAAAGGTACCAGGATTATAATTTAATACGCCAGACGCGCGTTTCGTCTACATAAGACTCATCAGTGACGCTCAGATCAAAATAGTTATAAAGCCAAACAAGTACAAAGTTGAAAAGCATTGAGGACCCAAAATTCCAAAAAGTTGTGCCAAATACGGCTAAGGTAATCTATTCTTTGGATAAGAAAATCCTTAGTTTTTCGAAAAATTCAAAGTTTTGTAACAGGAAATTTATAAGAATGACCATATAATTGATATTCAAATACTGTTAAAAATAGTTAGGCATTTTCTTTTTAGTAATAAGTAAATGTTATCAACTGTATTTTATTCAACTCTGCAAATGTGGTTTGCTACTGGTAAGTATGGATGATAGTTGTTTCATTGGCAATCATAACACATCTCCATATATATAATGATCTATATTCAACGACCTCAGGTACAAAAAAAAATGTATGTAACTAAACTATGATGGGAAACCTTTGACTTCTTTCTTTTATATAAACTTTTGATTTGGTACCATAGAACTATGTAGAATAAATGTACATTGCAACATGTCAACTCTTTCAATGACAATACTTTTTTTAGAAACTATAACTCCAAGAAAAATTATATTTCCAAGTATAAAGTAATTTATGAATGAAAAAAGGAGTTCTTAATTAAAAAATAAACTGATTCGCTGAGCGCAGCTGGATACACCCGCAGAGGTCCAACCCTGAACAGTTGGGGCAAAAATGGACACAATATTTAAGCTTGATACAGGTCTGAATTTGGATTGTAATTAAATATTTGACATATTATAGTTTCTGAATAAATGTAGTCAAAGAACTTAAAATCGGTTATATGAATTGAATTTATATTCAATTAATGATTTCTTGCTGTTTACTTTTCCAATGCTTTAAATTTAAGATTATGGCATTGTTGTCATTGGAATTGAGTTTTGTAATCGGAGATTACTCTAACCTCCAACGATTGTTTTGCGACACCAGCTAGGGCAGTGGGACTTCAGCTGGTCCAATATCAGATAGATGATATTTGCCCGTCCAAAGTGGATGTGCTGCTTTCAAAAATTGGGGAAAATTACACAGAGAATTGAGTCATTTTTATATTCATTAAATAATGACTAATGTAGACTTACCTTCTAATTCTATAAAAAAAATTCACAACTACTGAACAGGAACAATCATGGTACTTTTTTGTCTATGAAACTACACTATGACATCTGATCTGCAAAACCTACAAACAGACACAGAAATATCATCAAATAGTGAAATATAAGATTGATTGCACCTTGTATGGATAGTTCCGACACGTGTTACATGGGTAGCCCGTTTGTTTACAAATAATAATGTCACGTGATCACGCACTGACCGTCACAAATGTTTATCCTCCGCCATTACACAATATTACTGTACTTACACAATTCACAAATGCATAACCCATTTATCTTGCGGACATGCAATGGGAATGTGCACGATTATCAAAAACTGCAAAAAAATTGCATGTACAGTTAATGAAGAAGTTATTTCATCAAATAGATAAGATTTTCGCTCATGACACAAATCGACTGGGTGTCATCGACATCGGGGATAATTGATAAATGGGATTAAATTGACCGCCAAGAAGGTGTAGAGAACCACCTCTGGAGAACTTTAACATTAATAAGTAATACTCACCAAAATTTCTCTATAATTAACGCTATTTTCTGTTGGAAAATTTCAGAAAGATGCTGATAAACTTATTTTGTGACACAGATTATTTTCTTGTTTTGGCGCGAAATATATTCTTACTCTTAATGCTTGACGTAACAAAATTTGTATAGAATTATATTTAACTAAAGCTCAGCGTAAATATGCAGAAGCATGACAATACATTAATGATAAAATGTGTAAATATTTCTGTAAAAGAATATAATTTTACTTTACCAGTATACTTCACTTAGAATTACATTTGAGCGCAAGAAAATCTCTATGTGAATCGGCTGAAGGTTACCTCGGCTGAATCCTGGGGTCGAAGTTCAACATATCAACGGAAATTTTTGCGTGTGCTTGCGTTGCTTTAGATCGAGGCCACATCTTTTCAACCAATCGGGGAATGTTTACTTGGGGCATACATCTATTTTTACTGCAGGTTTCGACATGTTTAAATCGGGATCATAGAAAAATGGAATGTTGTTGGTAGATACAAAACAGAAAATGATGAACACTTTTAGCAAAAGATAAATTGGATCGGGTGTCTGTGAATTCACATTATTTGTACAACTCTCCTTACTCTTGGGAAGCGTGTGCTTTACATCGAGGCTTGCGTTGCTTTACATCAAGGCTTGCGTTGCTTTACATCGACGCCATAGTAGTTCAACCAATCGGGGAATGTTTATTTGGGGCATACATCTATTTTTACTGCAGGTTTTGGCATATTTTAATCGAAATTAGAGAAAAATGGAATGATGTTAGGAGATATAAAACAGAAAATGATTAATATGTTTAGCAAAAGATGAATTGGATCGGGGTTCTGTGTATTCACATTATTTGTACAACTCTCCTTACTGATGGCAAAAAATGAAATTTCCGTGACCTAAATGGTTCGCGAAAATTAATATTTTTATATATATATAGTAATAAAAAAAAAAATTGAATAATAAAGAGAAATTTAAATGACATTTATTCTAATCTTCACTTTCATTATTTTACTTTTTTACTTTTTTTTCAGAATGTACCAACAATGAAAACTATTCGCTGATAAAGTGTAAAAATAATATACATTTTCTATACACGCATTGGTCTATTTTTTACTTGTTTTTTGTTAAATACAATACATTTTCCTGCTAAAAACTTTATAAAATATAAAATATTTTTGCATTTTTTCCTTGATTTAATAGCAGATTGTAGTATCTTTTTTAAAATTTTACAGGTAAAATAAAAGGTAAAAAATATGACTATAATTCAGAAATAAACTATAATTGTTAAAACAACATGTTTACATATGCATGTAATTAAAAGTGGGCAAACCAGGATGACACCCTACAGTCATATTCCTGACTTGGTACAGGCATTTTCTTATGTAGAAAATGGTGGATTAAACCTGGTTTTATAGCGCTAAACCTCTCACTTGTTTGACAGTCGCATCAAAATCCATTATATTGACAACGATGCGTGAATAAAACAAACAGACATAAAAGGTAACTGAAAATGTACAGCAGTCAACACCGTGTCACAATCTTAATCACAACAAAAACAAACAAATATTTGACAAACAAGCACAAAAAAGCATATATCACATTAACAACCTCGTTCATTGCTTACTTATTTTTGTCTTTCATTTATGTATGCCAAATCAACCGGCCATAAAGGATCGAGGGATTTTAAGCACTGGGACCGAATCGTAATTTTAACATTAACTCTGGCGTAGAATCGCGTGTTTGACGTCAGAATGTAAACGTCACACAGGTAGAGATATAAAATAATTTTGTCGTTCAAAGTATGCAAAAATTATAATAGAACAATAACACAATGGCGGGATGTTTAAAGTACAGGGACATGTCATATGTATCAAAGAAACATATAAAGTCACACGGACAAAGCTCATAAGTAAAAATGAAAAATAATACAAACAACACAATGACGGGATGCATAAGTACAGAGCCACGTCAAATGTATATCATCAAAAACAGACCAAACAGTAAAAGTAATATTAATAAAGACAAATAAAAGAACACTTTAACACGTTATTAAGATAATAAACAGCGTCAGTACGCAGACTCTATACTTCAAGACCATCATGTATTATTTGTGAAGTTGATACGAAATATTTATCAACAAGGTCTTGGTACCTTCCGATGATTTTTTTTAGAAAAAGGACGAGACGTTCTTTGACATACCCCTGGTTCATCAACTTTCTGCTCAGACACTGGTGACGTTTTACAAAAGTAGATAATCTAGGTCTTCAAAACTGGTTTCAATATAATTGGTAATCTGAAACTGCTTATTTTACGCATTTGAATTAAATTTAATAAATAAAACAGATTCCATCTGTGATATTTTAGGACTTTTTGAGTCTTCCAGTAGAAAAGTTTCGCCATGGTGGAGTTAAGATTACAGGATTTCAGCTGATAGATTATTCGACATACAAAGTTCACCGGTTTATAGAGCAATGGAAAGCGCTAACAACATCCTTGTGGCCCGGAGCAGGGGGTAACAAAATAAGAGTAAGTGAATGTGTTATGAATATAGAAAATGATGGGTTCCTGTTTCAAGTTGGTTTGAAGCCCCCCCCCCCCCTTCCCCTCCTCCTCCTCCTACCCCCCAAAAAATACAAAAAAAAACAAAAAAACTCGGAATGATCAACAATCATACAATCATTTAGTCATACAATATATCCAACATATTATTTATACTAGTCATCTGGTGAAACTGCCTAATTATTGAGGTCAAAAGCAGCATACATGTAATAAATAATCAGCTGATTAGTTGATGAACGTGTACTTCTATTTAAAAAAAAATGGAATACTAGCAAGTAATTTATTTCCGACCAAGAATGGAACAGCAATGCAGTAAATTGTTTTGAAACTTATTCACATATTTGTATTCTTTAATCTTAACTTTGAGAATTTCCGATCTCGTTTTATGCCATTATTAAATATCTTAAAAGGGACTGTTAAAATACTTCAAAGACATGTGTATTCCATCCCTCTAAACAATTGGACGAATAGAATTTGTATATCTAATTTTATGAAATGACTTTATGTTTACATGTACAAGTGGAATTGTTAGACTGTATTATATATATCGTTATATATATACAGGTCAGCGATCATTAACTACAGACAAGCATTTTATTCTTAACATGCATGTTAAGTTCTAAACCACCCGAGGACATAAAAATGTAAATATTTATAACAGGGACCGTCAATGTTCTGACATCCATAGTTACTTAAGATAATTTTACATATACAATAGGTTGGTGCAGCTCTTTCTATTGATGCAGCAACGATACTACAGGAAACGATTAAAGAGATGCTTGAAAATGACCCTAATGTCTTCAAAACAACATTTAGACGTGCAGATATTTACAACTTTAATACAACCAAAGGGATTCCATGTTCCGGTGGTAGGCCTTGGATGCATGGCCAAGAAATAATGAGAAGAATGAAAGCTGTAAGTGTCCATGTATTTAATCGCTGGCTTCGGTGTGAATAAAAGGAGATGTGATATGAGGTTGTTTAAATTGTTAAAACACGAAAAGCAATGAAAAAAATGGAAATGTGTCCATGGGACACAGATGCCATGCACACAGATGATACCCCCACTTGCATATAACGTTATGAACTTACATAACTCAACGGTAAAAGTGACGCCACCCAAATTCAACCTTGATCTGAGTTTTGTGGTTTTAAGCATTGCGTATATTTTAAGTTTCATAGCATTTGGTGGAGGCAAACTTAAGTTAGGGAACGGAAACTATTTTTTGAACGGACGTACGGACGGACGAAGGTAATACTTAATGCCCCTTGTTTAAGAAAGCTATCATTATCACTTACACTAATTAAAACAGTGGCGTATTTCTTGCAATTGACCAGTTACACTGAACTTCCCTAATCAAGGCTTCCAAATGTTACAGCTTTATCAGATACATGTAACATACTTACCTCTTACTTACAACATGTAACATACTTACCTCTTAATTACACTTGATCGTAAGTTCTAATTTCAAAATCTTTTATTTTCCAATTAGGTCTTCCCCAATCGAAATAGAATTGACCAGTTGCAAGACATTTAGTAAAATCCTGTATAGGTTATGGTGTAATATAGATTTCTATTTTAGATGGACTTTGATGGTTTGACAGGAAGAGTCACTTTTGATGAAAATGGTATGCGCAGATATTTCAATATGGGAGTTTATCATGTGTCACTTGATTTCGGGCCTTCAAAGGTACAGAGTACTTCAACTTTGTAATAATTTACTTTTTCTTTATTGTTTTGAAATTATCCGTTATAAATTTTAAAACTGAGATCGGTTTCCTTGTACTTGAAAATGAAACCCATCGTACAGGTATGACCTTTTAATTGCAACTGACAAATTCAACTACATGTACGCATGTTAAATATGGGATCTATTTCAAATTACCAGACCAAAGTATAGCTGTCAAAGACTGCATGTCACAGATTACACAGTCTGTTATGGTATTATAAATCAAAGACAACCAGTTACAGATAAAGATGATATAGGCAACCTGGCTTTCCCTGACAATCGGGGCTCATCAAATAATTAGATATATGGAACTAGATTATGAGTAATATTTCTGACATTTATAAAAGTATTATGTTTCTATTCTACTAAAATAATAACATGTCTGTCCAGTAATTTATATAATATAACTGTGGTCTATAATAACTTTGGTATATCTATCTGCATTTCACAACATTGAACTTTCATTAGATTTGTTGTCGTTACTATGTTGGGGTAATGGAAATGAACGAAAAAAGCTAATTGAATTACAATATATACAAATTACGCAAGTATTTTTTTTCTGCAAGAAAGTAAAAACATAGGTTTTCTGTCTATAACATTTGCTTACAGCTTCGAACCAATGACCCCTTTATTAGATTGGTCGTAATGTTTCTTAATTATGTTCATAAAATTATACATAGCACAATTCTATGCCTTCTTTATTATCTATATAGGAATTCGCGTTCCTCAAATCATGTATAACAAAGACGAATTTCTTTCAGATAGGTGATTGGAATTCCGTCAATGGTTTCACATGGAAAGGACAAGAGGAGAAGAGTGAAGAAAAGATAGATGATATTGACAGAGATATCAAAATTGTGATTAGTGTGCTGGTTTGTACTGACACATCAATACTCGAAAATTTGCCCCTGCATGGCTTAATATAGATACGTTGGGGATATACTTTTTGTTCTTTTTTAGTTCTGAGCTCTCAAAGTTTTGAATTTTCAAATAATTTGGCTTCAAGCATCGCTGAAGAGACATTTATTGTGCAGTAAGATTTCGTACCGATAATTTTATTATTTAGGCTATACAAAATGGGCATTATTTAAGAACGTTTCATTATAGATGAACAATTTTTAAATTTCAAGATGAAATTCAAAATTAAGGACAAAAAAAGTAACAGTAGAATAACCATTTCAAGCAAAACAAATCAACGCTGATCAAAAATCGACAATGGAGAGGACACTACATTATAAAAAAAAGCAGAAACATGAGAAAAACATCAAAGAAGAAAAGCTAACTCAAACCTGGTAATAATTGCATAACAAACGTAAAACAAATCAGGTGGTTAGATGGTAAATATCACGTATAGTTTTATACATTGTCAACAAATAATGTACGTGTTCCTAAGTCAGGAATCTGATTACAGTAGTTGTCGTCTGTTTATGTAGTTCATACGTGTTTCTCGTTTCTCGTTTTTATGTAGATTAGACCGTTGGTTTTTCCGTTTGAATGGTTTTACACTAGTAATTTTTTGGGGCCCTTTATAGCTTGCTGTTCGGTGTGAGCCAATGCTCCGTGTTGAAGGCCGTACCTTGACCTATAATGGTTTACTTTTATAAATTGTAACTTGGATGGAAAGTTGTCTCATTGGCACTCATACCACATCTTCCTATATCTATGTAGAGCGTAACTTTTGGAATTCATGTGTTGAAATTTAAACTGTTTAATGCATGCATACAGCAGACTCATCCAGATTCCATTAGAATTTGTTTTTTAAATTGATGTAAAAATAAGGAGATGTAGTATGATTGCCAATGAGACAACTATCAACCAAAATTGAAAGTTAAAATGAAGTGGATGTAAACAATTGATATTTATCTTCTTCGTGGATTTATGAGATTTAAACATCGGTAAATTACTGTTGCCTCTATTATACGAGATGTTTGTCTAAGTCTAAAACAAAAGTCTGTGACAAAAACACCCAAATGAAATAAATGAAATCGAGCAAAGTAGAAAAGTCCATTAAATTTAACTTCTACAAGACTATAGAAGTTCCACATAATGAATTTTGAGATTCACTGAAATTGACAATAAGCCGTTTGAAATGTAAGCAATATCATTATAATGTTCATTTGCACATTAAGTCTGTTACATGCACTAACAAAATTCGTCTATATACGACAACATCAAAGGAAGCATAAAACCTTGTATCGCAAGTCCAATTCTAAGATTATGCTATGCATTTTCATGCACATATCGTTCATAGTGCTTCTACTAAAAGGGTTATTAAATATTGTGTTCTTCTGTTTTGTCGTATTGGTTTAAATCATTTGTGTTGATGACTAAACTCATTATGACCACGGCGCTTTTACAGTGCACTCGGTAAAAATAACAGTTTTCTATTAGCATGCTGAGTGCATTTCTTTTTGAAGGAAAAACCTTTCTTTATGCTGAAATCAGAACCACAGAAAAATGGATCAGCATGGACAGGAAACGATCGATATGAAGGTATATTGACGAATGTTCCATTCATATAATTTTGTAACTGTTTATTTCTAATTATCCTGCATTGTTCGTGAATACGTGTCTTTTTGTCTCATTCTGATACATGGCTAACATACTTTTAAAAATGCAGGGTTTCCAAACAGCTGATACTTAGCAGTATTTCAAATAGCTGTATTTATCAGATCATTATGTCTATATTTGATGTCAATCGGCAACCAATTAAGATTGGTAATTGCACATTGTTCTACCTAACACATTGTTGTGCAATGTTTTACGTTTGAATAATTTGAAAGACTTTTCTTGAGAACTACTTAATTAAGGTCAAGTTACAGTAAATGGGCTATGTCACAGATTTTGGTAAAATTTTGCATACAACTAGACTAGCTCGTGGAACTATAACTGAAGATAGAAAAAATAATGCATTTATCTGTTTTATCATCTGAAATATTACTGATTTCGTTCTTTCAAAATAGGTGGACATTTGTATAGAAAGCATATAAAGTCGGCGAAAAATTTGTCTTAAAATCATCAAATCTCTCATTTCTACAACATAGTTTTTTCTTGAAAAACTAAATGTTGTTGATACATACATTGAAAGAAATCTCTGTATTACTGAAAAATTATTACACCAGGGTTTTCGATATCACAAACTAGTCAAAACATTTACTAAATTTTATCATCGGTACAAGGACATCATTCGTAAATATAAATCAACATGCAAACATCTTATACGTTCAGGTATTTCACATCCAATATTTTATGGTAATATTCTTTACAAAGCACAAAAATGTCGGCATTCGCCTCAAAAGCTAACCAAACCTTTAAACAGACTTATTCGGAAAGGGTATAGTTACGATACTGTTGTCAAGTCATTAAGGATTGCATATTTTGGTATTAATATTGATTCACTCATAGGGTCTTTGCATCGGAAATAAACACATTTATTCTAAAACCAGTTGTTGGCATGATACGGGTTATGTTCTTCTCATATATTTTATGATGGTATGATACTAAACCCCTAACGGGAGGGATTGTACTTGATTTTCATATGATGAAGACATAATCTTTCAATCAGTTTAATTGAGGCCTGGAGCTGGCATGTCAGTAACTGCTAGTAGTCCTTTGTTCATTTATGTATCATTGTCATTTTGCTTAGTTTCTTTTGATACCTATTCTGAAATCGGACTCGGACTTCTTTTAAACTGAGTTTTACTGTGCGTATTGCTATGTGTTTCTTTATTTTACATTGGCTAGAGGTATAGGGGGAGGGTTCAGATCTCACAAAACATGTTTTAAATTAACCCGCCGCATTTTTGCGCCTGTCCCAAGTCAGGAGCCTCTGGCCTTTGTTAGTCTAGTATGTTTTTTAATTTTAGTTCATTTATATGTTTTGGAGTTTAGTGGGACGTCCATTTTCACTGAACTAGCACACAATTTTATTTAGGGGCCAGCTGAGGACCACCTCCGGGTGCGGAATTTTCTAGCTGCATTGAAGACCCATTGGTGGCCTTCGGCTGTTTTCTGCTCTTTGGTCGGATTGTTGTCTCTTTGACATATTCCCCATTTCCATTCTCAATTTTATTTCCGTTTTAATGATGTAGAGTAATGATAGGGTCACCGACTTCGTTTAAACGGTATACATCATTCAAAAGGGGGGGGGGGGGGGGGGTATGTGAAAAAATACAACAAAACGTCGAAATAATCGTAACGTCATCGCGTGGCAGGCCGTAAAACGTTAATTTTTGACGTTTTTCACTACCAACTAGGTAACAGATTGATTATTAGACAAAAAACAAAGTCGGTGATCATAATTATGATTATTTTATATTATTAAAACGGAAATTTATGTATCAAAAACATGTAGCTTTTTAAGAAAGTAGTAGAAATGAGAGATTTGATGATTTTAAGACAAATTCTAGAAGTTTTTTCGCCGATTTTATGTGCTTTCTATACAAATGTTCACCTATTTTGAAGGAACTAAATCAGTAAATAAAAGAGATAAATGCATTATTTTTTTTCGATTTTCAGTTTTAGTTCAACGAGCAAAGGTTGTATATTAAATTTTAGCAAAATCTGTGACATAGCCCATTTACTGTTCCTTGACCTTAACTTTTTGAATTTAAAATATTGGTAATAACTTGCTTATTATTATGATTTTATGATACAAAATTTTGGTATGGAATGCATGCTAAAATTAAATGATTGAAACCAAATGCGACAAACATTTGAGGTAAACAATCTAGTGATCAAATTTTCCTGTCAAAATGCATAAAATTTTGTCTGGGCAATTTGAATTGCAGGAAAAATTCAAGTAAGACGTTTCCACACGACTGATTCTTAAATCATCATTAAAAGGCGTGACGTCACCCGTGATACAGTTTAGTCATAATCATATCAAAAACAATAAATTGCATTATAACTATACATGTTGAAAAGTAATGCATTGTAGATAATATAGATAATTATACTGATTGTATATTTTTTTGCGCTTTTACGTCACTTATATACCTGGGTGTATTAACCCTTTTAAGAAAATATTTATTCACAGGTTTTTCCGTAGAATTGATACGAGAAGTTGCAAGCATTGTGGATTTTAAATACAAGTTGAAGCATAGTACTGATGGAGTTTATGGAACATATATATCTGAGAACAGTTCGTGGAATGGACTGATCGGTCGTATCATAAGAAAGGTAATGAAGCGTGTTTGTGTAAAACTTTGATATTGGAGCACCTTTATTTCGTATTTAAAGGGACCTTCCAGATGATGTTAATGAAGACACTGCCAATCTCCAAGATAGACGTCTCTCTATTTTCTCCTTTTATTTTATTTTAGTTGATTATACCGGAAGTACTTTTATACCGATTTTTATAGTGCTATAAACGACTAAATATTATACAAACTATATGCTTTAAATTGAATATATTCATAGGCGCCTGCGAAATTGCTAGGCGGTGTTGCCGTAGAAGTGAGAAGTTAAAAATACGATTCCAGCCACTATTGGTGAGGAAGTAAAGAATCAGATCTAATCTAACATTGTTAGGTTGATTTTCTAGGCATTTTAATAATATTCTAATGCCTAGATGATGTTTTTGGCAGGACAAATTATATCACAAACGAGCCTTTACCTTATTGTTTAAACTATAACATCTCATGTTTAGAAGATTTTGTCATGTTCATTTTCACAACTATCAATGCACTCAAATTCTTATCAATACAACTCAATGGAAAAAGTATAAGGAATGTTGGAAACATCTAACTTAACGAAGGATAGTAGACATATTCAATTTAACATAAGTTCTGTTGCTACAAAATTAGACGTCAAAGTCAATTACCTAACGTAATAGTTGCACATCATCTTTTATAAGTCTTTTACTGTCTAATGCCTTAATTTCTTTATATTCATTGTTCCATGAAAAGCGTATTATTGTCATTCACATTAAAACACCTGTTTGTGACAATAGTAGTGAAAAAAACCGTTCATATACTTAAACTTGTGAATATAAACCACAAGTGTATATAGGAACGCAAGATCTATTGAAAAATGACCTCATTTATGAATACATGTACCATGTGTGACATGTACAAAACATTCATTCGGAACACCATGTGTTACATGTATTAAACGTTCATTCGGCTCATTCAGTATTTGGACAAGCATACATGTTCATTATTATTATTATTATTATTATTATTATTATTATTATTATTATTATTATTTATTATTATTATAATTATTATTATTATTATTATTATTATTATTATTATTATTATTATTATAATGATTATGATTATTATTATTATTATTATTATTATTATTCATTATTATTATTATTTATTATTATTATAATTATTATTATTATTATTATTATTATTATTATTATTATTATTATTATTATTATAATGATTATGATTATTATTATTATTATTATTATTATTATTATTATTATTATTTTATTATTATTGTAACACCATGTGTTACATGTATTAAACGTTCATTCGGCTCATTCAGTATTTGGACAAGCATACATGTTCATTATTATTATTATTATTATTATTATTATTATTATTATTATTATTATTATTATTATTATTATTATTATTATTCATTATTATTATTCTTATTATTCATTATTATTATTATTATTATTATTATTATTATTATTATTATTATTATTATTATTATTATTATAATGATTATGATTATTATTATTATTATTATTATTATTTTATTATTATTGTAACACCATGTGTTACATGTATTAAACGTTCATTCGGCTCATTCAGTATTTGGACAAGCATACATGTTCATTATTATTATTATTATTATTATTATTATTATTATTATTATTATAAATATTATTATTATTATGATTATTATTATTATTATTATTCATTATTATTATTCTTATTATTCATTATTATTATTATTATTATTATTATTATTATTATTATTATTATTATTATTATTATAATGATTATGATTATTATTATTATTATTATTATTATTTTATTATTATTGTAACACCATGTGTTACATGTATTAAACGTTCATTCGGCTCATTCAGTATTTGGACAAGCATACATGTTCATTATTATTATTATTATTATTATTATTATTATTAAAGGAAAAGCAAGAACAAAGGAAAATACAATTGTCTTTTCAGATCTTCACAAACTGACAATTATAGTCATATTATTAGAAAATAAGAAAAACAAACAAACACAATCATTAAGCTCATATATTTTTTAGAATAGAAACAAGTGCTAAATCCTTTTCTATGACAACAAAATGAAAAAAACTAAAATCTGTACTAGAGGATGCATATGTCAGTTAGACAAACACACACAGATTATTGCATATATATATGCACATCCCAGCATTTCTGTTTCGCTGACATTCTCTGTACTTACAACAAATTCAAACAATTGCATTGTTTTAATAATATACTGGTATTATTTTTTTTCATATTTTTCTATTTTTACTCCATTTATATATTACATATATATATATATATCTAAATAGGCGATTAAGGGTGTAGGTAGGGGTGATTTCTCATTCAATGACAGAAGTGTTTTTTTTTCTCGTCAGGGAAGGGGGAATCACTAAATACCAGTATGTCTTTGGAAATTTATTTGGAAAAATTAACGCAACTTGCCGTTATGGAAAAGGAAAAACTACAATCAATCCTTACTTAAGGATTCTTTATTTGCTACATCAATCGTGGGAGACGTCCTTACATTGGTAGCATTTAACTAGCACATGTCTTGTTTTATGTTTCTAAATATACTTTTTTTTATAAGCATATCACAGACGACACAAAGGTGAACAACTAGATGAAATTTCTAAACAATTTTATGATACCTATCAATTAATAATGTGCATTTCATTAGGAAGTATCATTTGCTTTTTTTTCTCTCTCATTTTCCTATTACATGTACCTTCTGTTATGTGTTTTTTTTTTTCTCTCTACATATAAATACTTTATTGTAACACAGTCAACCATATTGTCAAAGTTTTATATAAATCTCGCCAAAACGTAATACTAAAAATGAATTCAGGAATGAAAGTATATATACATAATATTTATGTTATATGAATTTAAGGCGCAATTACTACATAAGTAAGCCGCCTACCAAAACCAATAACAACAACAACAATTATTATTATTATTATTATTATTATTATTATTATTATTATTATTATTATTATTATAAATATTATTATTATTATGATTATTATTATTATTATTATTATTATTCATTATTATTATTATTATTATTATTATTATTATTATTATTATTATAATGATTATGATTATGATTATTATTATTATTATTATTATAATTCTATTATTATTATTATTATTATTATTTTTATGTTGCAGGAAGTTGATTTATCAATCGCTCCATTGACTATAACACGAGATAGAGAAGAGTATGTTGACTTTTCAGAACCATTTATGAATACTGGTATCAGCATTATGATAAAGAAACCAGATATTCAGAAACCTGGAGTATTTGCGTTCATGCAACCTTTCTCTATATTTTTATGGTTATGTATCGTAATATCATACTTTGTCGTCAGCGTTGGAATATTTCTAGTAGGAAGATTTAGTCCATCTGAATGGGAATGGTCAAAACCGTTTAAACTTGGGAATAATAAATTTAATTTAGCTAGTTCGTTTTGGTTTACCATGGGATCTATGATGTTGCAGGGATCAGACACTTGTCCAAGGTAAGTGAAAATATATCTTCCTTGGATGTAAAAGTAGTGATTTGAAAAAGAGGCGGAAGATATCAAAGAGAGAATCAAAACTCATAAAGTCGAAGAGAAACCGATAAGTTCATGGCAAAAAATAAACGAAAAAACGAAAAACGACGAGAGACAAAACAACATACAAAACAGTTCATAAAGACTGAGCAACAACTACGGTCATTGTATCAAACAAACCTTACATATCTACAACTCTAATCTTAATTGACTAGGAAAAACCACCTCGGTGGTCTCGTGGTAGCCTGTTCGCCTCGAGTGCGGGAGGTCGTTGTTTCGAACCTCAACCGGATCAAACCAAAGACTTCAAAATTGCTATTTGCTGCTTCTTCGCTTGGCACGCGGTATTAAGGGGAAAATTAAAGACTGGATGGCTCAGAGTCAGTATAATGTGTCCATGTAAGGTGACATGTCTTCCTGTGGACTGTTACCTTGTGAACTAGCACGTTAAAAATCCGACTCAGCGTATCGGTCTAGTACAAAGCAGGGTTGATATTCATATTACACATGTTACATTAGCATGTTCTCGTCCTGAATATGCATATTAATTTGCCGCTGGACTTTAAGCAGCCATCCATCATCATCATCATCATCTTAATTGACTAAGATTGTCCATTTTTCTACCGAAAGTAGGTGGTTCTCTCCGGGCACTCTGCTTGCTCCACCAATAAAAACTGACTGCCACGAAATAGCCAAAGTGGCATTTTACACCAATCAATCAATCAATCTACACTTTTGACCTCTGACTTTAGATAAAAGTGTTCTTAAAGCATGACAGGTTAAAAAGTATTATTTGACCGGGATTAAAATTATAAATCTAGCAAAACGTGATCATAAAGTTAAATTTGAAATTTCTCCAGCCTTGAGTTAAAGGAAAAAAAGCCACACTCTGTGTTCTGCCTACTCATCTGACACTGCATATTTATGAGGTTTGAAAAGATGTTTTATATATAACAAAGGGTTCAAATGGCGGTCAAATTTACTAATATTTTTTTACCTATGCTTTTTAGATCTAATGCTGGAAGAATAGTTGGTGGAGCTTGGTGGTTTGTCGTGTTGATTACAATTTCATCTTATACAGCAAATCTAGCGGCATTTCTGACCATAGAAAAGTTACTTACCCCTATTGAAGGCGTCGACGATTTGGCAAAACAAACAGAAATCGCATATGGAACATTAGCATCAGGATCAACACAGGATTTTTTCCGTGTCAGTTGGTATTTCTTTTAGAATTGTTTTTGTTGCTTCTTTACACGATTTCTCTTCAGTTTGAATGACAAAAACATCGTCAACCTTACAGCTAGTCAAATATTATTAATATACACATGTATACATGTCCGTTCTCGTCATCCTTTATAGTCAGGTTAAATTTGATATTTATATTTTCCAAACATACATTCTTTAATAGCAGGTCTACACATCTTTGCATTTTACATCTCATCAAAGATTGATTAAATAAAGGACATTATGTGAATGTAACTCGTCAGAAACTCATTGCACACTGTAAATGCACAGACCTGGGCGTTTTCTCTTTTAGATGATTGTCTATCTCAGAAAAAACTTCAATACCATAGTTGGCTGACTTTGACTGCATTCTTTTTATGCGATTACAGGTTATATTTTAAATGTAAATTAATATATTTTCCTACTTTGCTGAGGAGGTGAGTGAAATATTCAGAAAAACAAAAGTATATACGTAACATCATTTAGATTTAATATTTTATTTTAGAAATCCGAGGTGCCTGTATACCAAACAATGTGGAATTACATGACTTCTGCCCAGCCAAAGGGATTTGTTAAATCAGCGGAAGAAGGCGTTGAACGGGTGCGTAATATGAAAGGAAAGTTTGCTTTTCTGATGGAATCCGTTTATAATGAATACTTCAATCATCAAGAACCATGTGATACCATGCAAGTTGGACCAAATCTCAATTCAAAAGGTTATGGAATCGCCACATGGAAACGCTCTGGTTTAAGGTAATCATTCAATTTTTTTTCTTCTAAATAGTCCAAGATTTGAAATGATTTGCAGAAATTCATCACTGAATGTCATTTCTACTGAAAAATAAAGGTTTGCCTTTAAAGTCTTTGGTGATTATAATGGTAAGGAAATTATTGGACCAATACATTCATAAAATACTTAACTATAAATATAAATAATAACTAAGTACTATGTGCACGTATTTTATATTATCACTAACCCATAACGTATTATTGAAAAATTTATTTCATTCGGTGATCGGTTGCTTATAACCTGTCGGGTTGTTTTTTTTTTGTCGAAGTTTACCCAGAATCGGTCTATATCATCAGATTCTGCTTTCCACGTTTGTATTTTTTTTTTCATCACGGTTTTTCCCTTCGCACTTCCGCTGTGCGATTGCCGAATTTCGAATGATATTTTCATTGAAAGTTTACTGTATACGGAAAAGCTATCGGCGAACTAGAGTACGGGAAGAAAATAATTCAATAGCAGTACATTTCTCAAAATTTGAATAAGATCAAGGATTTTTTGTTCTTTTAAAAGAAAGATTAATCACAGGTGTTTTACATTAAAACATAGCCATTCAAGTATACAGAACATACTCATATTTTGAGGATCTTACGACTTTAATACAAAACTCTATAAATCTCGCTAATTTCATTTAAAAAGAAATTTTACAAAAAAAAAAAAAGGACTAACTTAAAGATACATGCAGCTTCAGTCAAAACAAAGATCAGTACATAATGGATTGAAAAACTATTATAACGTACCAAATCTTGGTGTCCTTTTTGTAGATATGCTTCTATGCGTTTTAATTATTCTGCTCAATAATCTGTTGGGTTTTAGTTTATAAATTAAACATGTGTCATGCGCATTGGAACATATATGATCTGTATGTTTATACATAAATCTGGAAGCTCCTGGACTATTTGTTCATTGTATGAACATCACCGCATGTATTATATTGTTTGGTAAAGCATTTTTCGTTGTAATGAAATCGTTTTTACAGGGAGAAAATATCAATAGCTGTCTTAAAACTAAAAGAGAATGGGATGTTAATTAAATTGAAAAACCAATGGTGGATTGAAAAGGGTGGATGTGGAGTCCAGGAAACACATTCGGTAACGTAATATTCCATATGAATTTAGATTAAGCAGTGAATGCATAGAAGCGATTGCTATTCCTTCAATGCATAAGTACGCGTGTTTCTAAGTTGCTTTTAATGGTCTGTGTTGTGTATTATTTTCGTTTTATTGCTCCTAAACTTTAACTTTTGGTATCTAATTATATACAAGCATCACCCTGCAAATGAGAACTTTCTTTTCGAAATGCCAATATGGTTCCCTCAAATTAACTTTCAAATTGGTATTTGTAATTTTATGTTATACGATACTTCTTAATCATCTCGCTGCAAACACGGTGAAATACAAATTAAAAAGAAAATAATAATAAATAAACGAAATATTGAAGCTTACTGCAAATCCTATACTAAAACAATAAATGACTAAGAACAAAATTATTTAATATTAAAACTTAGATCCATTATTATTATATTACTGAAAGTACATGTTATACAGTAAGTGATTTGTTTTAAATTATTTACAGCCACCAAAGTAGTATCTTGTATGTCTTTTATTTTTACAGCAGTGGCGTTCAGGCCTGCTGTCTCATACGAGGTATATATCCCTCACGTCTCTTTGTATTCAAATAAACAATCCAACTATCAACGACAATCATCATATTCGTGTGTAATATTATACAATTATTGACTGTTGATGAGGTTGATACAATGATTTATCAAACACAATTATATGATAGTCTCAGAGGCCAACAGCCGAGGGTGAATGTTTACTTATATCACTGGGGTTGAATATCAACTGATATAAAAAGTCAACAATTGTTTTATTATATTACTTTTTATCTCCAATTTCTAGTACTTGCTCAAGATATTTAACTTCTCCTTTTATATCAAATATAGTATCTGTTTTGGCAATAGCTAAACTTTTATAAGTTAAAATATTCAATAAAATTTATTAAGAAAAAAATTAACATTGAAAAAAAAAAAGAAAAAACTAGAATTTTGCATGATGTCATAAGCATACGTTATTGAAGTTGCCTAAGCAAGAACTATTTAATATACGTACACGAAGCTGTTTCAAATCTTATATTAACCCTTCGTTTTTTTCCGCGGTGAATAAAATGTTTAATCAAAGAAGATTCCCTATGTTTTTAGCCAACGAGTAAAGTGAATGATTATAATCATATAAAAAAAGGTTTGTTTATGTCGAGCTGGCGAGACGTCAATGTCGTCATGTTGTTTATCTATGTGTTTTGTCTTTAGACATATTATGCCATGTTGTCTTCAAATTTGTGTACTAGTATCTTGTATTTCGAATTCATTCTAAAGTTACAATACATTAGTATGGTAGATAGAATGCTGAATATGTCCATTTAATATATAATAGATAATACAACTGATTATTACTCTTTGAATTAAAATCTTAAATAATTTTCCTTCTTTTTTTAGAAGTCAAAGAAACGATCACTTTCGTTGAACAAAGTCGCGGGAGTTTTCTTCATTCTCATTGGTGGACTTGTATTTGCAATTGTTGTTGGTGTCATTCATTTCCATAAAACAAAGACCAAAGTTCAAAAGTTAGGCGTAAGTTCAACATATAAATTTTGTACATCGTTTTGTTTTTTTCACTGTTGAAATGTATTCATTTGAACTATAAATATACGCAATAGCGCACATCTTTTACGTATATTTCTTTGTTTTTTTTACCTATCATATATTACCGTATATCCTTATGATATCTGTCTTGTTCCCTTTTGTCCTGAAATATTTGCCACTGCACGAAAATATTTGTTTCTATTATTTAATAGTTCAAACAAAATTATATTTTTAAAATAGTGTCCTGTCTCTTGTAATATATCATACTATATCATTATACAGTATACTGCAATTCTTCCATCTTTTCAGGGTTTATATTTCTTTGGAAATGACATGAAATGTACAGCTAACATTGAGTATACTAGATGTCCATCTGAGAGCACGAATGAGCGTGTAGTAACAAACGGTCGATCAAATGGAGAAAAACCTCAGGTATATATGAATCATATTGCGATCTAATTAATAATGGATATTAATATCAATGCATCTGTCAACACCATTGTTTAAAAGAATATAAACCGCTTTGAGCAATAATTAACTTTTGTGTCTACATTCGAAATTATCACTAGAACATACACATTTGGTAAAATAAAATCCTTATAATTTTCAACCTATGCTTTAAAGTAGCTTTCGGTAATTGCAAGTACTCTTATTTGTGGGCATTTTGTCTTTATTTTAGTTGGGTTTTTATTGTGCTTCGTGAATTTCACAGTTTGTTCTTATATTGTGCTGTTTCACCACTGTCCCAGGTTAGGGGAGGATTGAGCGCTCACAAACGTGTTTAATCAAGCCACATTCTGTGAATGCTTGTCCGAAGTCAGGAACCTGTATTTCAGTGAATGTCGTTGATTGCTGTCTGTTATATTTGTATCTCGTTTCGTCATAAATTATAGCTGACTATACAAGTTTGGAGTTTTGCTGGTTGTTGCTGAAGGTGGAACGGTGATCTATTATTATAATAGATGCTTTCATCCACATCATTTGGACACTGATAGGCATTAGAAATCATACCACATCTCCCCTTTTTTTAATATTTTTCAAATTGTTGAAAAGATTTTTTCTCTTGGTTGGAATAGTCCAATTCAGATTTACTTGTTAAGAACATAGGTTAACTATATAATTGTTATCTCTTATTTATCTCCATACCTTATAAGCTTAAGTATTCGCTAAAAAGCAATATTTATTTTTGATCATTTTGTTCGATTCGAGCGTCACTGATGAGTTTTTTGTAGACGAAGCGCGCATCTGGTGTACAAAATTATAAGCCTGGTATCTTTGATTACTTTTTATTGTATTTTTAGGCAGGTTGGCATGAAAATGAAGAACTTGGAGTACCGAATCTTGATCATCACGTGTGTCAATCCATAGATAATTCTGTGCACAGAAACAGACACGAGCCTGTACAACGTTTATCTACCAAGAAAAAGTCTTGAAGATAGAAGTATGGAGTGTATATATAGATACACTTTAAACATACAGACTGATATGGTTTGAGGACTATTGTACTGTATGTTGGTGTTAAAGCACACGAGTTTTGTTCATTGCATATTGACCTTTCCCACCTAGCAAGATGTTGCGTTTTAAAATATGATACGAACATATACAATAAACATCTTTATTATGCTAGCTATGGAGTTGCAGTAAGAAATATCTTTTTGGTGTACTGCAGCTTATGTTTTTGTGTAAAAATCAGGAACAAAGATAATTGTTGTCTGCGACTAGCTTTTAGTAGTTTTTTCATCATACATTGCATATTCTGATTACATTTTTTTTAAAAGGTGCTGTTTTTTGTACCGATTTTTATGGATTTATTTTTTATTTCACTTGTAATACACATTTATCAAGGTATAAACAAGTCTTTGTTAAGTATTCATATAATTTAGTTTATAAACTTTTCATTTTTCTAATACATTTTGTCTTTTAGAATATTTTGGCCACGAGCATTTCTGAAAATATATGATTGTATTGTCGAAATGAACATCTGGTTCAGAAAAAATGGTACCGTAAATTTTTTTATCAAAGACCATAATCATTTGTCATGATGTATGTCAGTATCTTATTTATTTGCTTACAATAAGTCTAAATAAAAATTTATAAATTATAACTTGGCGATATTTCTAATTTTGTTGAATCTTATACATTTTAAACTCGTTATTCTGATTCAGAATATCGAAAAGAAAAGGTACAGTACACTTCCAGCGATACATGAACACTAAATTTAAAAAAAAATTAAATAGATCTATAATATATGCATAGAATACACTTTAAAACACCATAGCTATACATTTTCTCATTTTAAATTGCTATATGCACTCTGAGAAAAAAAACGTCAAAATAAAAAAAGCTTTACGTCATGCTGCAAAACCTTTGCTTTTCATTTTTTTTTATATGAATATAAATGATTAAGACAACAAAAACGAAGCCGGTGACCTCCCATTATTTTCATAACAAATCGGAAATGCAAAACAAATTTCTTAGTCAGAATTTCTATAAATCGCAATTTAATAAAGTGAGTAAACCCATAACGTGTAGTTAACGACCTGATTTAAAAAAAGAGGTTTTGTACGTGCTTTCTACATATTGATAATTCTTTTTTTAATGCGTGTATATCTATTGTGTACAATTGCTACATATATAAGATTTCGATATTCAGATGTAGTGCAGCGACTTCAAAAAGCATACACAGTTTCATATCATCCGAAATACCGCCCAATTATGTATACTTTACCTGAAAGTCATGTAAATATTTGCTGTATCAGCGTTAATCGGAATAAACTGATGCGTATGTTCTATGATTGTTTTTTTGTTTGTACGTATTATGTTCAATTTCTTAAATAAAGTAACATCACCAATTTAAATAAAGAATCGAAAAAATGATCAACGTTTAAGCATAATTATACTGACAATTGTGTATTGGTGCTTGTTCTCTTTGGGAGTCGTGTAGTTTGGAAGCTTGCTAGTTGTTAATGTAATTAATAGGATTCAAATAAAAGGAGAAGTTGGGATAAAAGTTAATGAGACAGCAATCAAACGACAAGTGTTGTAACAATGGGAACGAAAATCAGCAACCGGATGAATTGAGTGATCAAAGCAAATGAAAAGTGCTACTAACGTCATTTAATCTGATGATATACACCTATATCATTGAAGCTCGAACAAATAAACATGTTTGAGAGCAGTGCAGAATGTTCAAATTTGTTGATACATGTCGGTCTCTTGCGTAAGCGTAAGCGCTTAACACTAAAAATGTGCGCACAATCAACGCTTTTACAACCCTATAAATACAAAAAGAAGCATTCGATTCTTATAATTTCAATTATCATGAAATTACGAATAAAATCAAGCTTTCGGTTTGTTTTTCTAGTATGCAATGTTGAAACGTTTTCATGGAGAGCATATGCAGTCATAAATGTTGCACTTATTTGGCAATTGAATATAATTTTGGAAAGCATAATGATAGTTTGTTTTCCGATCCGCCAAATCACGGATTCTTATGAAACATCTATGTAATATACTTAATGATAAAAACAAATTTCAAAACAAATTTTCAACATTTTGCAATGTAGATCGGAAACATTCTGACACGATAAGCCATTCTGCCCAAGAACACCTGGAATTACCAGAACAAGAAGTACCTACTAATGAATAAAATTTCAAGATTCTGCCAACTAGGATATGAAAACACGAAGTCGCAAATTATGATGGTAAGGCGCAAACATATGACATGAATATACAGTACGCGACGCACATTTCTGCATGTATCTACTTGTATTACAGATCTGATCTTTTTTTTGGAAACCCACTAGAGTATATACCGAGAAAAAAACCAAGTTCACTGCAGTTGAATTGCTAATCAAGAAAATGATCGATTGGATTTACCTCTTGTAAATACAGCATACCTACTACCCTTTGCTATGTTAAGTCATACACTGTTGTGCTAATATGTAGGAGGTAATGCCACTCAACAATAAGCATAGTAAAATCATCCTTCTGTCATTATGTAAGATCACGAACAATGTTGGTGGATGTCTCCGGCTACTCCGGTTTTCTCCACAAATACAAAATGGCCGCCCTGGTATAGTCAAGGTCGATGAAGGTGGCGTTAAACAACAGAAATGAAAAACAAACTAAATGTATGTTAGACTGTTTGTCTTAATCTAGAAATTTTAAAAAAGCAAAAATGACCAGAAAGACAACGTCTACAAATAAGTCAAATAGCCGAAATCGTCTCACGACTCCTTATTGGAAGTATTGTGGTGCTGAACACCAATATGTAGTACTGAACCATTCCATGTTTTATATGGTCCTCATCATGAATCGATGACGTAGAGCGCACAATTACACACATTCTCACTCATTTTTTTTGACAACAACATCTATCGATTGTATTGATTTTATTATACTTCACGTCTAAATGCCGATTTTGATTGGTTAATACGAGGGAGATAATTTAATCTATCCCATGGCAAATACTCTATTACCCTTCACAGAGACGCTTGCTCAAGTTTGCGCTTTAATAAATACGGATGATTGTTATGTACAAGACGACATAGTTTATTACTTTGAATTTGAAATTTAATAAACAGTAATAACAGAACATTCAGTATAATAAATTAAATAACACATATCTGAGAAGGTGATAGAGCAGATTGTTACCCCTCGAAAAGACATTGTCAACCTTGGCTTCGCCTCAGTTGATAATGTTTTCTTGAGGTAACAATCTGCTCTATCACCCTCTCAGCTATGTGTTATTTATATATACTGAATATACCCAGGTGAGTTATCATATATTGTTATTTCATGCTCAGATCTTACGACATTGGCGGCGTCGACAGCTCGAATCTGTTGACTTTAAAATTACCGCTTCTGCGCGGAACGTTTTACACCATTTGCTTTAAATTTTCTGCAAATGTCAGCGGAGGATATATTATAAACATAATCTTCAGTCTATCAAATTTGGAATATTTCAGTACTTTTTCAGGCAGTACTGTATATTTTATTCACTGTTTAAAATTTAATTCGTTTCTCGTTTTGGTGAGTCGCCATTTTACATCACCATAGGCTGTATCTTGCCCAAATTGAGCTTGTATTGTGTAGAAGTACAGTACTAATCTGTGGATACCTTCACAACACGGTGTCAACGGTTGAAATACAGTACGGGCATGGTGGACGATTCCAAAACACGGACCTTCGGCGAAAAATACATCACCGTTCAGGAGAACATATTCACAACACGTGTCCACGGTTGAACTACAGTATCGTTCGAGTGGACAACTTCCAAACACCGACAATCAGCGAAATCTTTTAAATTAAATTCACGTAATAAATAAATTCAAAGATATCAAAGCCTGTGTTACTAATGGAACAAAATCAATTGATGGTACATACAAATACTCGAGGCTAGAGATTCATCACACTTCATAGACTTTAATGTAGTGTTTGGTATTACTAGTGTGCCCAGATCAACATTGAAGAAACATCTTGTAGAACCTGCCAAAGGTGCACAATGAGATAGTAAAGTTAGGACAGGTATTCAAACAGGACATTTCAACTGTCACATCAGACCTGCAAGAGGAAGATAAGAAAGTATCAGAAATTGACAACACAAAAGAGACTATTGAAGACGTGTGTATCCGCATGACTAAAATGGAGCAAACCAAGTTGACGAGGTCAACCATCCAGTTCAAAAACCCATTGCCATTATTGCAGGACTAACATCCTGAACAGGTTGAAAACCCAGAGGAACAACCTTGTGCCTTTGGTACTACAATAGACACTGTAATAAAACACTAAAACAAGCAGGTTGAGGAACAATTTGGATCTAAACCTAAGTTATTTAGCACTCCAGCTAGTTCAACAACATATCCGGACTTTAGCACGGTGTTAACTATCAGTAAATCAACTGGAATTTCCAATTTGGATGGGTCATACGCCATGAACAAAAACATCCAGGAAGATCTATATGCATCAGCAGCATCCTCTTCTGAAATTTAGTACTAGACCTGGAGCGGCTAAACAAAAACATGAGAAACCCTACACTGAAGTTCCTGTTGGACAGGGGACCTCGGCTCCGCCTTTGCTTATTTCTAACATTGAGCTCGCTCAGTCAAATATGGAAGTACAGTCGAAAGCGAGCTTCACAAAGCAGGACAGTTGGACAGCCAGTCTAAAGTTGGACTGGGACCTTTGGCTACGCCAGTATCCTCATATATTGAAGCTTAATACATTACTGGAACTCATGAAACAAATCAAAATATTTTGTCTCACAGGGTCACATTAGACAGTGGACTTTAGCCCCATTGTCATATTATAACCCCATCTTAATTCAAGGTTCCACGGTGCCAAACGCGCACCATTTTGGTCTTACAGTGTTCCACCACCGGGAATCTAGCATAACTGTACCGGCAGATGCAGTTTTCTACCCTGAATCTAATAAAGAAACTTCAAGTATACCTTCAATCCCAGTACAGTGGAATAATCCTGGGTCCCATGTGCAGTCTGCAAATCAGTCTGTGAACACCACTTCTGGTCAGACCAACAGTGGAACTTCACCGGAGTAGAGGCAGAAAACGCTGCCAGGGGGAATCCTCTTCATCAAGTGAGGATTTTTTGGACAGAGAATCATCCCGTTGGAAGGAGTCCCATGTCAGAAAAAGGAGCAAAAGTCCGCAACTGCCGAAGATGCCAGTCTTCACCGGCTCTAGCAATCTATCTTGGGAAGCCTTTATTTACCAGCTCGAAAGGACTGCATGTCGGCATAATTGGGATGACTCAAAGAAAACGTGCCGGTATCTAGATTGCTTGTTCAAGGTTGCACTTGAATATACCCGAAGATCGTATACATTCAAATATGACGATAATAAACACTAGTACTTAAGCAAGGAGGAACCATCTGCAAGAAGAAGAAGCTGAAATACATCAGGCAGATAGACGGAGAGACCATAGAGAAATTTGCAGAGCAAGTTCATTTGCTTACAAAGAAATGTATTACCTACGCAACGATGACATCATTGACCAAACAGATACCGAGGCAATTCTGCGTGGATGTTAGCAAGGAGGTAGCCCGGATAGTCATACAGAAAAATTCTAGATCTTGAACTACAAATAAAGCATTAAAATGGACCAAGTCTTCATTAGTTAACCAGAAAGCCATTTATGGAGCCAGTATGTCTTACTCTGGCAGTCCTCAGTTATATTCCCAACGACAAGTAATCTTTTCTGATATCAATGTTTCTGATCATCTTCCACAAAGGCCCACGGCCTTGCAAAACAGTAAGACTGAGGTTTGAAAAAGTAGATAGCTCTTTACAATCTGATATTAAAGACGTGGCATCTCTAGTTGGCCTGTTTCTAGAAGATAGAAGGCGTAACACATCACCATCTACAGAGGTTATTATCATTCGTTATCCAGACGCCATCAGAACAACTATGTCATATCACCAACCCCAACAATGTCGCACTCAAAATTCCCGAGTCCTCAGAGTTTACGTTTTCCCTTTGTCCATTACCAAATAAAGAACAGAACAACATGCCATTCTAGGTTCAAGTCTGACTCAGGAGGAAGATAGCCTAAATCACCTGGTTGTCAGGACTGTAAGTAGACGTTTTGTAATACTTGCAGCTGTAAATGATATGCCAGACAGTTCTTCCATTGACACTACTGCTATCACTTTAGTACGCAGTTCCTAGATTTCAAATACTCCGGAAAAATGTGAATGTGTACCTTTAAAAGGAATTGGACCTCTACCAGTTGGTAACTTGGACACAAACATTGCCAATTCTATGACACT